AGAGTTATTAAGAAAGGAAAATATACAAATTCTATTTCAAACTTAGGAGCTTTCCTGCTTCAAAGGATTAACATTAAGAAAGCAAAAACTTGAAGCAGAAAACACTTCTGAATTCTTTATCTGGGAAAATGGACTTGTATCTAATATATATTAAGAATTCTTTTTTTTTTTTTTTTAAAGATTCTTATTTATTTATTTGACAGACAGAGATCACAAGTCGGCAGAGAGGCAGGCAGGGTGGGGGCGGGGAGCAGGCTCCCTGAGCAGAGAGCCTGATATGGGGCTTGATCCCATGACCCTGGAATCATGACCTGAGCAGATGCTTTAGCCCACTGAGCCACCCAGACGCCCCTATATTAAAAATTCTAGGGGCACCAGACTGGCTCAGTAGGAATAGTATATGACTCTTATCTCGGGGTCATGGGTTCAAGCCCTATGCTGAGGGTAGAGATTACTTAAAAATAAAATTTTTGAGAAAGAAAAAAAGAATTCTTACCACTCATTAATAAAAAGACAACCCAATTTTTTTAAATGGACAAATACTGTGAATACACATTTCTCTGAGGAAGATATACAAAGGTCCAATGAGCAGATGAAAACATGGTTAGCCATGAGGCACATGAAAACCAAAATCACAATCAAATACCACTTCCTACCCACTAGGATGGGTAGGATCAAAAAGCTGGATAATGACAAAGGTGTTCATAAGGCTATGGAGCATGTTGGAACCCCCATACACTGCTGAAGCAGGCTGTACAATGGTGCAGTCATCTTGGAAAATACCCTGGCAGTTCCTCGAAGAGTTCAACAGCTATCATATGATCCAGCAATTGGTACTCCTAGGTACCCGCTCAAAGAACTGAAAACACGTTTGCACAGAACACTATACAAGTGTTCACAGCTGTATTAATCCCAAGAGCTGAAAAGCACAAACCACCCAGATGTCCATCAATGGACAAGCGGATAAAATACAGTGTGGTACATCCGTAAAACAGAATCTTACTCAGCCATGGAAGGGAATGCAGTACTGACACAGACTACAACACGGATGGAACCTTGAAACACGATCTTAAATCAAAGAAGCCAGACACAGAAAACTATTGGACGGTGCGATTTATATGAAATGTCCAGATAGGCAAGTCTATTGAAACAGAAAGACCAGTGGTTACTTGGGACTGGGACAGGGGATAGGAGGAAATAGGAAGTGACACCTACATGGGGTAGGGTTTCTTTTTGGGCTGATGAAAATATTCTAAAATTGATGGTGGTAATGTCTGCACAACTCTGAATATACTCAAAACCACTGACCTGTACACTTAAACGGGCAAATTGTATGATCTGTGAATCATACCTCAGTGAAGTCGTTTTTAAAAAGGTATGGCTGAGGCTTAGAAAGCAAGATGAGAAGCAATGACAACAGTACTTCACAGAAGATGCTGTCATCGTAAATCCTGGTGCCAGAGGGCAAAGGAGCGCTCTACCCGGATGAGGCGGAGGACAGGATCCACAATTTTATATCCGACAGTGGCAAGAAACGGGAAGCGTTCTTTTCACTCAGTTTCAGATAAAAACTGCAAACCCAGACTGTCCCAGCTTGTAGTGAACAGGTGATGACATGGTGACAAGAGGTCACCTGTTCCAAGAGGTTGGGGGTGAGAGTGGGGAGGGTCATGTGATGAGGATGGGCGTGAAGGCCAGTGGGAAACAGTGTGGGGACCCCCAAGCAAGAAGGACTCCCAGTCTCACGTGAGCACGCTGATTGACAGACCTCACAATTAACCATCTTTCACGATGGTAAGGGTCTTATCTAACACTAGCTGATTTTTTTAAAGGATCAAATGAGATAGCTGAAAAACTGAAATAAACATATAAAACAAAAAAAAGGGGCACCTGGGTGGCTCAGTGGGTTAAAGCCTCTGCCTTCGGCTCAGGTCATGATCCCGGGGTCCTGGGATCGAGTCCTGCATCGGGCTCTCTGCTCAGTGGGGAACCTACTTCCTCCTCTCTTTCTCTCTGCTGCCTCTCTGCCTACTTGTGATCTCTGTCAAATAAATAAATAAATAAAATCTTAAAACAAAAACAAAAAAACCCCAACTTAAAAAAAAAAATGCTTCACAGCAAACTGTGGAACACCTCATTTACTCCCCACAAAATGCCTAAGGGTAATACGGCATGAGGAACAACCCGTCCGTCTGACCCAGGCACTGACTCCCAGGGCGTCCCCCACCACTACACTTCACCCTCACTCCACTTTATTATGTAAGTGCCATTAGAAACTATAAAAAATATAGAGGGGAAAAAACCACCTGTGTACATTCCACCAGGCTTAAGAAATAGAACTTTCTAACACCCTGGGTGTCTCCAGCCAAGCACTGGCAAGCATGTGGAACAATGTGACCCCTCAGTCGAGCTGGGGGAACGGAGACTGGTAGGACCACTTTGGAATCCAGTGGTGTGACGTAGTGACACTACGGCTGTGCATTCCCGGTGACTCTGCAATTCCACCCCCTGGGAACATGGTCCACAATGGCAAACAGCTGGAAGCTGCACAAATGTCCACTCCAGAGAATGGACACATTGACTTTCGTGAACCAAAAGGCTTCAGGCATCAACAGGGTCCCAGGAGTAGATGGTTCCTCCTTTTTCTCCTCCTTCTGTCCACATCCGCAGGCAGGGGGCAGACTCAGTAACTGTGGGGACTGGGCTCTGCGTGGCAATGGCTGTTGGCTCCTCTAGGTCAGTTCTTTCCCTGCCTCCTTCCCTCCTGGATTCCTTGCTCCCGGCACAAGCTTCAGCTTCACAGAACCACTTGGCAGGTTCCCCTCCCCCCATTCGCCTTGAGCACTGCACCAGGAGCCATGGAAGAACCAAAAATCAGAAAGTCAGGTTCACGCTGTTGGGGCAGGTGGGGACGAACATCTAGGTACATAAGGGACTGGCATAAAGCAGAGTGGAAGGAACGTACTAACAAAGCATGTGGTTTATGGAAGGGAAGCAGCCGACGATTCCAACAACAATGAGAAGTGAAACGCAGGAATTTCCTACTCCAGGCATGAGTCAGAGATGACCCCAGAAGCCTCCCACTGCAGTAGGAACAGCCACTCCCTTTGTTCTTCCCCTCTGATATTTGGACAACTCAACTTCTAAGCTCAGAACCATAGGGATCCTTTCTCTCCCTACCAACAATGCCGAGAATGACTGTGCAGAAACGCTGCCTGACCCCCAGTGTAGGGACACAGAGGAGAAAGTGATCATTGTCTAGAAGACAATGGATTCCATGGGATGAGTCTACCAGGAATCAAATTTAAAGCCCAGCCTCTAGCTATGTGACCCTGCGCCAACTCCATTAACTTCTCTTGAGCATCCTTCCCTACACATCCTTCCTAAGCATCCTTCTCTACAAAATCAGAACCACCCTCGTAACAGGAAAACCAGTAGTATCAACCTAAGAGGGTTACTGAGAGCATTACCCGAGACATGATATGCGAGCTACTTAGCACACTGCTTGACATTAATGAACACTGTAACCAAAAACCAAAGAGCAACCTCCAGCAAGCAAGGTCTTTGCAAATCCGGACTTCCTGGTGTTTGTCAGTTTACAAATCCATCTCTCCTGCTGGCCTCCTTGAAGGAAGCGACGTCATCCTATTCCTCTTCTTGTTTCTACCAACAGTGTGCTTTGCATGCACTGTACACGCTCACGAAGGCCGATGAGTGAATATATGCAGAGATGACTACTTCATGAACGAAGACGACGAGCTTGTCTGGTTAACCAGGGCAGCAGGCAGGGAATCAGAGCACAATGGTCTGGTCTTCAGACTATTACAGAAAGCCAGCAAGGGGTGAAATCTAGCAATAGAAGTTCCAATTCCACTGAGACAAACAGGCATGGTCACTCTTGTTCTTCTTGCCCATTTCTCCCCCCACCCACCTCCCACAAGTCACTGGAACGAGGCCAGGCAATTACCTGTACTTTTCCCTCTCAGACCTAATAGGCCTAAATTTTAAACTGTCAGTCTTCCGACCTTCTATTCTCTTCGATCTCCTTCTGTAATTTAGGCCTTGACCCTGATTTTAAATCACAGACCAGTGCATTAGCTGTCCTCATGTGCAGACCAAAGTCCATGCACTTAGAAAGGGACTATTAGGACTGGGGGTCTCAAGCAGCTGAAGGTAAGGTTGTGAGTTCCAGCTCTGATGGGACCAGCACCTTGAATGCCAAGAAATTTGCATGCTGTGGGATGAATTGTGTGCCACGCACCCCCCACTCCAAATTCATAAGCTGATATCCTAACCCTAGTACCTTGGAATAAGACTATTATTTGGAGACAGGGTCTTTACAGAGGTAATTGCATTAAAATGAGGACATCAGGGTGGGCCCTAATTCAACAGGATTCCTCTCCTAAGAGCAGACTGGGGCACCTGGGTGGCTCAGTCAGTTAAGCATCTGCCTTCAGCACAGGTCATCATTTCTGTGTAATGGGACCGAGCCCCGAGTCTGGCTCCCTGCTTAGCGGGGAGTCTACTTCTCCCTCTGCCCCTCCCCCAACTCCTACATGCACGGTCTCTCTCAAATGAGTAAATCTATATACATATATGTATTTTTTTAAAAAAAGGAAGAGTAGGGCACGCAGAAGAAAGACACAGGAGTGTGAGGACACAGGAAGAAGACAGCCATCTACAAGAGAGAGCCTCAGAAGAAACCAAACCTGTTGACACCCTCATCTTGGACCCGAAGCTTCCAGAACTCTGAGAAAACAACTCTCTGTTATTTAAGCCACCTATTCTATCATACTTTGTTATGGCAGCCCTAGCAAAATAATACAAAGCCCATTTTCAGAGTCAGGAAAACCAAAACCAACCAAGCAAACTAGCTGGTAGCAGAAAGGGACAAAGGAAGAGGGAAGTAGCTTTCCCATTTCCCCAAGCCCCATGTGCTAACTCGGCCAAGCGTTAACTTTCAGAATTAACCAGAAGTACTTTCCATCCCAAAGTCTTACCACATTTTCTGGCAGCTTGTGTCCAGGGAGATATTTTACATTTTCATGGTCATTATTTATGATGTCTGTCAGTTTTCTCCCATTAACTGTTTCTTCAAAGACCCACATCTTAACAGTGGAGGCAAACTTCTTAAGTTTCTTGACATTATTACCAATTATTTTTGCAACAGCTGAACCCCTACGAAAGAAACAACGGAAAAGAAGAAAAAAATTAAACTCACTTGGGCAGAAAAGCATTCAACTCTAATTCAGAAGAAACAAGTGCTGATTCTGATTCAAGCACTGGGCTTGTAATTCAGATGGGACGTAATTATCAGCCACAGGCCTTTTGAAAGCTTAGTCGTTTTCACCTGGAAAGAACACCCCCCCCCCCCCCCCCCCCTGCAGTGATCAGGATTTTGGTACAAGGTCAAAAACACCACCTTTGGAAACTAGTAAGCATCAACCTATCCTGGAAGAGAGTACCCCAGGCAGAAAAGAAACCCACGTAAGAGATATAAAACATGAAAGTAATACTTGGCGGGTCCTCTTAAGACTCCGAGGCAACCAGGCTATATTTCAAATCCATCAGAGATTAAAATGTAGTTACCATAGGATAAACTGTGTTCCAGTGAACTGCAACAGAGCTGCATTCGTAATGGGAAGACAAGACTCCGAGTTCCAGAAAAGGAGCAGAGCAAGGGTGCCAGGGCTTGGCTGTCTGGGTATTTGGTGTGACCCAGGTGGCCTCTAGCCTCCCACAGGCTCCGTTTCTCTCGAATCTCTGTTCACCAGACACATTCTGGTAACTAATCAGTGTCCCACAGTCTTTGCTACAGGGGAAGATCATGCACTCCAACTAGTTAATGCCAGTCCCTTGGACAAGGGCAGCTGGGCTGGGGCCAGTGCCACCATAGTAGACACGTTCCTGGGCCACGGAATGCTAACTGGGCCCAGGGTGACTCTGAATGAAGAAATAGTTTGTTTCTTATACAACTGGGAAGCAATTCCTCTTACCTCCTTCACCTCCCTGAGGGGTGGTAAGCTTTGGAGTGCAAAGAACGCACTGCCTTTGCTCTCCTGGCTCACCGGCACGGCATCTAGTCCAATGCATTGGGCCCAGTGGGTTCGTGGCAAGTATGTGATAATGGGAGATAAATGAGCAAATGGGTGATTGAGTGAAGTTACTGGTAAAACCAGGGAAGAGGCAGAGCCAGACCCTGATGACCTGACATGTAATGTAATGGAGTTTCCCCCCCTTATTTGGGTCATGTCATTTTCTCTACCAGTGAATCCCAAAGGACACACAGCATGGTCTGATGGGCTTAACGTTTAACAGTTCTAATATTCATGTGAATTTTCTGAACTAGCTCATTTCAACAGATGCTACAGGTTTGCCTTTGGTTGCAGATGCTTTAAACAGAGAAGCAAGTAAGTTCCAGTAAGATCACAGGGGAGGGATCTGGTGGTTCTGGCTTATTTTCCTGCTTGATTTACTAGATTTGGATTCCTAGTGCCTAATGGCTTCCAACCCCCCCCCCCCACTTTGCTCACCTCCCCAGAATCACACTTGCTTTCTGTGACCTTGTGAGTTGCGTAACTCAACGCCAAGAACACTGTGAGCCTGAGCTGTTACCTCCCTTGGAGTGAGCAGCTGTTTCCCAGATTACAATTAAGGTGATAGTGATCTTGGGAAGAACATTGGCCTCTCTCTTTTTTTTTTTTTCTTAAAGATTTTATGTATTTATTTGAGAGAGAGCACAAGCTAGGGGTGGGGAAGGGAGGAGCAGAAGAGAGAGCAGCAGACTCCTAGCCAAGCATGGAGCCCAATGTGGGGCTCGATCCCAGGACCCAGAGATCATGACCTAAGCCGAAGGCAGACACTTACCCCACTGAGCCACCCAGGCACCCCTCTTGGCCTCTTTTCTACAATTCTCAGGAGGAGAACGGGATGAATAATATGTATTTAGCTATAAACTGTCTTGCCGGCATAGAGTAAGAATTTCACAGGTAAAGCCACAGAGCTTTGATGTGTGCAATAGCTTATGCTATTCTTACTTGTGAGGGAGGAAGGCACCGGAAAGTTCTGGACGGCTGTACAGAGCAGCCGTTCTCAATGCTGTTGGTCCCTGTGGAGCTTTAGAAACTACCTACACTGGATCCTACTCCGGGGGCACAGATATCATTGGTCTGCGGGATGGCCTGGGACTCAGGATTCTTAAATCTTCCAAGTAATCTAATTTATAGCCAAAGTTGAGATGCACTAGCTTAGTCTATCCATTCATAAGGTGATAAGGGAAGGTGATCAGAAGAAAGGAGGATGGAATTTAAGTTTTATTTATTTTTTTTTTTTAAGATTTTATTTATTTGAGAGACAGAGTATGATGAGCAGGGGGAGAGGGAGAGACAGAGAGAGAAACAGACTCCCTGCTCAGCAGGGAGCCCAAGGGACCTGGGGCTTGATCCCAAGACCCCATGATCGTGACCTGAGCCAAAGGCAGATGCTTAACCAACTGAGCTGCCCAGGCACTCTGAGAAGCATGGAATTTAATTCAAGGACAAACCTAGCAAGGACAAAAACAAAGAGATTCTAGTGCCTTCGAGGCCTTGTCCTGTTCTTTCTAAATAATTTACATAGTAATCTGTTTTTGTTTTGGGGGATCAGAACTTAAAACACTATTTTTTTAATCTCTTTGACAATTTAGTAAAATCTTCATGCCCAACCAAATATTTTATGTTAAACCAAACATTTTCCTTGCTGCCTGCCTTTTTTCCGAGGCTGTTTATAAAACCTCCGGAAGTATAATCCACATCAACTTAACAAAGGCCACATAGGACAAGCCCAGAGCTGATCGGACACTGAGTGTTACTGCCACCAAAAATGGGGGGGGGGGGGGGCGCCAGGCAGAACTATTTAAGAAATAAATGTTTATTTTCTTGTTTTTATTAACTTTCTTATTTTTTATTTTTGTTTTTAATCAAAGATTTTTTTAAAAGATTTTATTTATTTACTTGACAGAGAGATCACAAGTAGGCAGAGAGGCAGGCAGAGAGAGAGGGGAAACAGGCTCCCTGCTGAGCAGAGAGCCTGATGTGGGGCTCAATCCCAGGACCCTTAAACCACTAAGCCACCCAGGTGCCCCTTTATCAAAGATTTTTATCACCTTCACTTGTAGTGGTTTCACGGGTACTCCTATCTCCAAGCCCATCAAATTATATACATTAAGTAGGTCCAGTGGTTTTTGTATATTAATTATGTTTCAAAAAAAGGTGATCTCCCCCCCCCCAAAGAGTATATAATCCACACCCAAATTCCTTTTTGGCTCTGAAATGGTACTAGCTGTGCTCATGACACATGTTACCACTTCTGACTGACACGAAGGAACAGAATCAGATAGAGCAAACCAAGTGTTCTGGAGAAACCTGAGTGTTTCTGAAGGGACTGGAGGCTATTGTTAAGTGACAAACCCTGTTCATTTCTTTTTTTTTTTTTTTTTTAAAGGGCCCTGCTGAGAGCCAGTCCAAAAACACTCACAGATATCAGACTGAGCTTAAAATAAAAGTACTGGCTACAGTCCACGTAGGCGGTTTCTACATGGTCTGGTCATGGTTGGGGCTGGGGTCCCAGGCCCCACTGGTGGAGCCCTCCACATTTCAGGGGTTTTTCTGCCACTGCCCAAGCAGATCCTGGAATGGATCTTTCACTGTCAGGGTCAAGGGCATGGACAGCCATTTCCACACCTGGCCCAGCTCATTCATCTACTAAATGACAGGTGGGGCAATGCTCTCTAATGTCCATTTCAGGTCTAGGATCCAGGCCAGTGTTTTCTAAAGTGAGGAATGGGTGCCAGGGGTACACCCCTCCATGGCCAAGTGCCACCCCCAACACACAGCACCAAAGGACACCGACTCACTTGTGCCCTTTCTTTTTTCTTTTTTTTTTTTTAAGATTTTATTTATTTACTTGACAGAGATCATAAGTAGGCAGAGAGGCAGGCAGAAGATAGAGCAGGGAAGCAGGCTCATTGCTGAGCAGAGAGCCCGATGCGGGGCTCGATCCCAGAACCCTGGGATCACGACCTAAGCCAAAGGCAGAGGGTTAACCCACTGAGCCACCCAAGCACCCCTCGCTTGTGCCCCTTCAACTCCATGGCCTTCGAGAGAGCGCAGAATGTCTCATCTGAGTGCTATTATGTTGTTACCATCTCTCCAGCATGTGTTCATTTCTCTTCTCCCCGAAGCCTCTAAATGCTTCAGGCACTGAGCCTGGGCAGGTAGCAGGATTTGGCAAGAATTCTATTAACACTGTTTTGTTTTCATTCTCCCAGTTGTTATTACCTCCAACATATGGTATTGACAGTAGTGACAGAAAGTTTTCTTTTAAAGTCAACTTTTACACAAAGGATAATAAGCAAATAATAACGCAGTATGAAGTAGAGCCAAAAGCAGTTAAGGGCAGAGCCTGCAAAACAGAGGTTTTAACGGTGTCCAAACTTATGACCTTCCACATTAAGACATGGAGGATTGGCCTCACTCTGACCTTGTGTCACACAACCAGGTAGTGGCTGAACTGGGCCAGGGGCTCAGGGCTGCTCAGGACCAGTCCTGAGTCTTCACACAGGAGTATAAAATCTCACTTCCCATGAAATCATGTAGACTGATTTCCCAACTTCTACAAGCCATCCAAATGAAGTTCAGAAGTTCACACAGATAGGAAGTCCTGTTCCAGGGCCAGCTGTGCACCAGGACTGGATTGAAAATCTCATTTTTACAGCGGCCCCGAGAGAGGTGCTCATTATCCCCTTTAACTTTACCGACGAAGAAGGTGAGGCTCAAAGAGTGTCACCCACAAGTCACGCTACCCACCTAGACACCAGCAGTTCTGACCCAGGTCTGTTTTCCAAAGCCCACACTTCCTGCTCCTTTACATTTGTCCTGGTACAGAGTAGCATCATGTGTTGAAAATGCATGCGGAACACCTATCAGGTGTAAACACTGCTGGGAAGAGGGGATACAGGGAGTAAGGCACACGAGTCCGCACCCTCATGGACCCTGGAGATGGGGAAATGGAGAGAGAATGAAGCTGTTCCAGCAAGCTCACAAAGAAAAGTAACCACACCACGGTGACCAAAGTGGCTAAGCAGATGACACTAAGATCAGGGAGAGCTGGGAGCCAAGTGCAGCTGGGCTGAACTCTGA